TTGGTCTAGGTACAGATTTCTCAGAAGTACAATTAAGTGTTCTGGAATACTCATACTTCTCAATGTTGTCCATAGCTTGTCATGATCCATACAATCAAAAGCCTTCATGTAGTCAATAAAGCATAGGTAAACATTCTCTGGTATTCTCTGCTTTCAGCCAAGATGCATTGGATATCAGCAATGATATCTCTTGTTCCACAGCCTCTTCTGAATCCAGCATAGTGATTACGAATTGGGCTGCAAACCTTAAGGCCAGCAGTTCAAAACTACCAGCCGCTCCACAGGAGAAAGATGAGGCTTTCTGCTCCCGTAAAGATTTACAGCCTTGGAAACCCTGTATAGGCTCAATATGGGTCAGAACAGACTCGATGGCACTTAACAACAACAACATTTTTGCTTAAAGATAGGAAGATTAAACTCTAAAACATATATAGTATAAAATCAAGCTTCCAAAAGCCTTTAAGAGAAAAATAACTATATAAGCTTATCAAATCTATGGAAACATAACTGAAGTAAGATTTCAAGGCTTAACACATCACCCTATTTCCAGGATGTGGTGAAGAAGTATAGAAAGTAATGGAGGTCTAAAGAAGCATACATATACTTCTACTTTGAGGGCTATTGTCAAAGTGGACTAGGAAGAGACACATGGAGGCACTTGTCTACATAATACTAAGAGACCTCAGATTAGATGGGCCAGGCCTTGGTTAGGATCCAAGGTTGAAGCAGGTGAGGCTAAGTAATAAAGGCATCTCCACTGGTCCAACTTTTGACATTCATATGACTAAGCAGCTCAAAGAGAAAATTTGAATTGTGGAAAGAATAATGACTTTACTTTTGGGGTTGTGCCTTTTAGAGACATTTATAAGTATGTTGATCATGCATCTCAATTTGCTCAGGTTAGGTACTATCTCAGCTTTCTTACTAGTAGTGCATTAAGAATTCACACTAGAAACTCTCTCAGTTTGTGTAATAAACTATTTTGTTTGTTTGTTTTCATTATTTATAAGTTTCACCACTCATCTATCAGTTTGTCATACTATGGTGGCTTGTGCTTTACTTTGATACTGGTAGCTATGGCACTGGTACTTTAAATACCATATGGCCACCCATGGTGGACAGGTTTTAGTAGAGCTTCCAAACTAAGATAGACTAAGAAGAAAGATAGGTGGACTTCTTATGAATGTTTAGCTACTGAAAAACTTATAAAAAGAAGCAAAAATGTGTCAGATATAGTACTGGAAGATGAAAATATTATGTATAACACTAGAATATTGGCAGATATATTACCAGAATGAGGTGAATGGAGCAAGGCTTCCAGGACCCTTATTTGCTGACAGGACACACTCAAAATGAAAGACACAGCTTAAAAATCCATTAATAATCACAGCAGAGAATAAACGAAGTATGAATCTAAGAACATTAGAGGTTACTTCTGGTGCCAGGTACGTGGTCTCCAGAGAATACGGGGGCGGTATTGCACAGGGAGGTCCCGGCCTGGTAGACAGACAGCCTTGGGGCAAACATAAAACATTAGGCCTTAACATTATGAGCTTGCTTTTTTAAAAAATCAAACTGCTGAGGAGTTACAAGCATTTTGAGCCTCTACCTGCCTGCACTTAGTTCCCACCCTGGGGACTGGCCCTCCCATTGCAGAGCTCAGGGCTTGAGCTGAGTCGTTCAGAGGGCAGACACTCCTGGAGAGCTAGCGGGGCCACAGGAACTAGTGTGATCCATCCCAGAGGGGGCCTCATTGCCACGTTGGGCATTGTCGGCATGGATATAGGGCAAATTGGGGTGCTCACGGCACAGGGAGACAGAGAAAGGCATTTTAGACGTCATCAGACACAGCTGCACCATCTGCCTGCCCCGCCCTCAGCTTTTTCAGCCTAGGCCAGCCCTCTGCCCAGCCTCTGAGCCTCAGGCCTGCCCATCAAGGCGCAGGCCAGCCTAAGCTTAGACGTCAATAACAAAGTAGTCCTGCTGTGATTCTGTGGGTTAATGTGCCAGACTGCAAAGCCTTTCGAACTGCAAGGAATGTGATTCGAGCTCACTAGCTGCCCCTTAGAAACCCTATACTGGGTCGCTGTGG